TTCCTATTTTGTTGCATTACAATCTGTAATTTAAATAGATTTTTATTTGGATTTCATGTTATGGACATACACAAAATAGTCCAAATTGGTGAAGTGAAACGAAAAAAATTACTAGTTTCAAAAAATTAAAAGATAAATAACGGAAAAGTGATGCGTGCATATGTATTCACCCCCTTTGCTATGAAGCCCCTAAATAAGATCTGGTGCAACCAGTTACCTTCAGAAGTCACATAATTAGTTACATAAAGTCCACCTGTGTGCAATCTAAGTGTCACATGATCTGTCAGTATATATACACACACCTGTTCTGAAAGGCCCCATAGTCTGCAACACCACTAAGCAAGGGGCACCACCAAGCAAGCGGCACCATGAAGTCCAAGGAGCTCTCCAAACAAGTCAGGGACAAAGTTGTGGAAAAGTACAGATCAGGGTTGGGTTATAAAAAAATATCCAAAACGTTAAACATCCCACAGAGCACCATTAAATCCATTATAAAAAAATGGCACCACAACAAACCTGCCAAGAGAAGGCCGCCCACCAAAACTCACGGCCCAGGCAAGGAGGGCATTAATCAGAGAGGCAACAAAGAGACCAAAGATAACCCTGAAGGAGCTGCAAAGCTCCACAGTGGAGATTAGAGTATCTGTCCATAGGACCACTAAGCCGTATACTCCACAGAGCTGGGCTTTACGGAAGAGTGGCCAGGAAAAAGCAATTTCTTAAAGAAAAAAATAAGCAAACGTTTGGTGTTCGCCAAAAGGCATGTGGGAGACTCCCTAAACATATGGAAGAAGGTACTCTGGTCAGATGAGACTAAAATTGAGCTTTTTGGCCATCAAGGAAAACGCTATGTCTGGCGCAAACCCAACACCTCTCATCACTCCCAAGAACACCATCCCCACAGTGAAGCAGGGTGGTGGCAGCATCATGCTGTGGGGATATTTGTCATCGGCAGCGACTGGGAAACTGGTCAGAATTGAAGGAATGATGGATGCGCTAAATAGAGCGAAATTCTTGAGGGAAACCTGTTTCGGTCTTCCAGAGATTTGAGACTGTGACAGAGGTTCACCTTGCAGCAGGACAATGACCCTAAGCATACAGCTAAAGCAACACTCGAGTGGTTTAAGGGGAAACATTTAAATGTCTTGGAATGGCCTAGTCAAAGCCCAGACCTCAATCCAATTGAGAATCTGTGGTATGACTTAAAGATTGCTGTACACCAGCGGAACCCATCCAACTTGAAGGAGCTGGAGCAGTTTTGCCTTGAAGAATGGGTAAAAATCCCAGTGGCTAGATGTGCCAAGCTTATAGAGACATACCCCAAGAGACTTGCAGCTGTAATTGCTGCAAAAGGTGGCTCTACAAAGTATTGACTTTGGGAGGGTGAATAGTTATGCACGCTCAAGTTCTGTTTTTTTGTCTTATTTCTTGTTTGTTTCACCCAAAAAAAAACATTTGCATCTTCAAAGTGGTAGGCATGTTGTTTAAATCAAATAATACAAACCCCCCAAAAAAACATTTTAATTCCAAGTTGTAAGGCAACAAAATAGGAAAAACACCAAGGGGGATGAATACTTTTGCAAGCCACTGTAGTTCTGTCCTTGAGCTGTTCTTGTCTATTAATGTTCTGTATTATGTAATGTTTCATGTTTTGTGTGGACCCCAGGAAGAGTAGCTGCTGCTTTCGCAACAGCTAATGGGGATCCTAATAAAATACAAAAATGTTGCTTCAATCAATATTGTCCCTTCCTTCCCATAATGAATTCAGAAATGTAGAAAGTCATAAATATGTGACAGCACATTTTATTAAAGAGACCCTCAATTATACTGAGGGGACCCATCTATAAATATGGGGATAAAGAAATAAAGGGCCACGGTTATTCATTCCTACACTGGGTTATTGTTCTGGTTTATGCTACCTACCAGGAGGAGCTCGTAAATTCGACCTGCAGGTCCCGCTTCTCTCGTGTTTTCCAGTTGAGTGAGTTAGAAGATATTTACATTTAAGTCACTTATCCAGAGCGACTTACAGTTAGTGAGTGCATACATTTTCATACTGGCCCCCCGTGGGAAACGAACCCACAACCCTGGCGCTGCAAGCGCCATACTCTACCAACTGAGCTACACGGGGCCACTTCAGAGGAGCCGTAAATCCAGGTTGCCTACCAACCGGTGGCGGCACAGAGACTAAGGCTCTACGCTCATGCAGCCTCTTCCAAATCCTCCCTGCATCGATCGAGTGCCTCAACCGTTATGATTCTCTAGAACATTAGCGGCGCAAATGATGACTGAGTGCTACGTTTACAATGCTACGGCCGTTAAGTCACTCTGACAGATCCAGTCTGCTTTCCCTCACCATAAATTGAAGGTAAAGGCCCCCCAAAACATCTGCCCAGACAAGAAAAACTTTTTTCGAGTTGATGTGAGGGGAGTGAAGAAATAAAATGACATGGAAGACACGCTGTCTTTGATCGTCTAAGTATGGTTAATCTAATAAGGAAGAGTATGCTTTCCCTGTTTAGGTTCGGAGTGGGCACTCGTGCATGCAGAAATGTGGTTTGCTTTAGATCCTAGTTTGGCTCTAGAGGGAAAGCCAGCGTTGTGCTTGATGTGGCTGGGAGAATCTCCTAAGCCCCTGAACATTGCTGCAGGGTTAGTGAGGGGAAGAAGTAAAAGTTGACACTTTCATGCATCGTTTTCTTTTTAACCCCTGCTCTGTCCCTAAAGAGCTCTAACACACACCATTGGTTACGAAAACTGAACTCTGTCTCCTCTCTCTCCCTCCTCTCCCTCTCCCCCTCTTACCCATTGAAATTGGCTCCATTGAAATAGCACGTGTCAAACTCATTCCACAGAGGGCCGAGTGTCTGCGGGTTTTTGCTCCACCCTTGTACTTGATTGATGAATTAAGGTCAATAACTATTAAGGAACTCCCCTCACCTGGTTGTCTAGGTCTTAATTGAAAGGAAAACCCAAAAACCTGCAGACACTCGGCCCTCCGTGGAATGAGTTTTACACCCCTGCTCCGTAGGATTGAAACATAGCTATATAGTCTCCAGATAGGGGGTCTGGATACCTGCCATCTTCACCCAACATCTGCCTCCTCCAGGCAGCCCTCCCTGGACAGCCAAGATGGAATACCTCAACCATGGTCACCCAAGGTTTCTAGTTTATACAGCGCCGCTCTCCGTTTATTTGGCCGATGCTGCCCAGTGCCTACTCCCTAGACGTTTATTTGGGTAGCTCTAGTCTGGCCTGGGAGTTAAACGCTTTCACCATGACTGTCTTTAGTCGGGCTAGAATAGACAATAAAACACTGTTGCAAAGCCCTCTGAGCAACTGTGACCAAAAAGGCTGCCGAAGACTGGTTCGAAACAAATTCCAGCAGCTTTTCAAACAATGTGTTATTCTTTATTCATAATCCATTCTACAATCGATTAATAACCAATCCCTTCAACGACCAGAATCTGATCGACACTATCAACTACAAATCAAACTCAAAGTGACACTGAACAGCTCTATTAAGATGACAGGATGCAGCAGTGTTGAAGAGAGAGCTAGCTACAACCCTTCAGTTAGACCACAACGCCCTCATCCCAAATTCAACTAATGTGGAGAACTGGAGACTGAGTTGCTTTTTGTCTGTCTGCGTGCCAAGTGTTACTTGTCATATGTTGCTCTGTATGTGTTAATTGTGTCTGTATTGTCATTTTAAGTGTTTTTAATCATCTCCGCAGGGACTGCAGTCGAAAAATTTCCGGCTGGCTAAAACCAGCACTTTTACTGAAATGTTCATTAAATGTGCACTGTCCCTGCAAAAATAAAGCTACTAAAGTAAAGTAAAAGTAAGGGGCCCCGGGGGACTCGATCCACTTGACAATGTGCCTCTACAAGGAGCCTCACTTCCTGTGTCTTCATAAAACAGATGGCCATTGTGACTCTCTGGTAGTTTTAACCATTCTCATCTGTGGACGATGAGGGGGTAAAGGCGTCCACATGCTTCCCATCCGGAACAGTTCGGAACAGTTTGTGCATATATTATGACAACATTTTGTGATGTTTTGGACTCCAGTAAGGGTTTTTTCAGCTGTTCGGGGACACACCAAAAATTTGAGGCCAGCCGAAGTTTGGGAGCCGAAGTCTACGCCACTTTTCATTGAGAAATACTGCACCAAACATCTTAGTTAGATGTAAAATTGCACTACAAAGAAACTCCTCTGCAAAAATGTCATAATGAATGACCGATTTCTTGAGTTATCTTAGATTAATTCTGACTATTTTGAGGAATACAACGTCTCAAAATGGACAAACAGTACTATTGCCACTTTTTCTCGTTTTTCAAGCAAAGGTCTTTTAAGGGAGTATGCGAGCACACTCCTTAAGTTCGCCTAGCCGACTTCGGCTAGCCGCCAGCCAAACTGAAGCATGCAGACGTCTTAAGAAGGGAATGAAGACCTTGAAACTGAAAGAAACACACACTTGGTTCTGTAGAAGCGCTTACACTAACAGTCAGAGCTTGCTTACTAAACACCTCTCAAAAGCCCTTGGAAAAGGTTAAAGTCTTCCAAACCGGCCAAGCAGTTTGTTTTATGCTTGTTTTACAGCGTCAAAGGGAAAGAGAGAAAAGAGAGTGCTGGGTTTGCAAGCTAGCTAGTCTTATTTTCTCTGTGTGGAGCTTTATACACCCGAAGCATTTGATCCAAATTCACTTCCCACTTCTCTCTATCCTCCCCCACTTTGAGAAGCATTTAGCCTAAACCTAACCCCCCCCCCCCCCCATGTATTATAGGGGGACGAAAGACAGACTGACAGCTCTGACTGAAACCTTCCAGAAATGACAGCCAACTCGCTTTGGCTATAAGAAAGGAGACCTACCTCTTGGCCAAACCTTGAAATAACCTAGAAATGATTGACACAACCATATTTCACAGAAACCCTAAAAGACATGAGTGACCACTTCCAACCCAAACCTTTTAGACAAAGAGAAAACTCCATCTTACCTTGCCCACTTCGACCTGGGAGTCACTCCCAAATTTCCCGGCTGCTCCGGAAGAGTTCATGATTTTCCAAAACTCTCCAAACAGATTAAGATTGCAGGGCTCGCCCTCTCCTGATGGCGGAGAGGAGGAAAGAGAGACGGAGGAAGGGAAGGACGAAAGAAAAAAAGCAGTCCCTTGTCTTCAGCTGCCTGTACTCTCCAGTTTCCACTGGCTGCCGTGGCCAGCCATCTTCATTCAGAAAAATACCCTTATTCCACACAATGATCAGCGTGAACACGCACAGACAGACCAAAGGTGGAGGTATATACACACACAAACACGCTCACACACACACCGTTCAGAGGTGCACAGTCACCATGATCCGTTATCTGTTAAATCAGTAGCGCCCTGTTCCTGAGTGTATCCGAGAAAACTGCTGGAGTCGCTCCTGGCTGGCTCACCTTCTCTCTGCCGCTCTCCCTGGTCATCTCCACGCGCTGCCACCACGGCCGGAGTGTGTGTGGAGAGAACTCCCTGGGGCCAGGCTCAGCGTGTGTGTGTGTGTGTTTGTGTGTAGCGGTGGGCGTTCCCCAGTGTGTCAGCGTCTCTGCTGGTCGGCTGCCAGTCAGATTGCAGTTTGCCTGTCGGGTTCCTCCTGACCCCCCTCTCTACTCCCCCTCTCCGTTACAACTTCAAGTTTTAGCAGCACCCCCACCCTCACTTCCTCCTCCTATTTCTTCAGTTACTCTGTGCCTTTCCCAGACCATCCAATTGCAGATCTCAATCACACACACACACTCTGGCTCCCACTCCCTATCCCTCCTTCTCTCACTCTAGCTCTCTCACTCACTGCTTATCCCTCCCTCCAGTCTCGCTTGTCCCTCCCCCTCTCTGCTTGTCCCTCCCTCCAGTTGTAGGAGTTTCTCTCATAGCTTGTTCCGGCATTTTTTTTTAGCTAAACTCAGACCAGCACTCACACAAAAGACTGTGTCCGACTGACCCAGCACTAATGGTACACTACATGGCCAAAAGGATGTGGACACCCCTTCAAATTAGTGGATTTGGCTATTTTAGCCACAACCGTTGATGACCGATGTATAAAATCGAGCATGCAGCCATGCAATCTCCATAGACAAACATTGGCGGAGGCTGTTAAAGCAATTAAAGTGCACTTCTGACATTGTGGTTCCTCTCGTAGTCTTAATTATAGTGTTTAGGGCGCACTAGTAGATTAGCGGCCCGTTCAGGCCTCATTAAATATGAACAGATTGGAGCACTTTAGTAATATATTGATGACCAGTGTTTAGAGCAACCAGTAATGAATATTTGACTACATGGTTCAATAATGGGCCGCAAAATATTTGTGTTAGCCACTAGACTAATTCAGATAGGTTTAATTAAGTTGACAAGGGGAAAGGCAGTCACTTAAGGATATATATCTCTATTACCAGTCAAAAGTTTGGACACACCTACACATGCACAGGTTTCTCTTCATTTTTACAATTTTTTACATTGTAGAATAATAGTGAAGACATCAAAACTATGAAATAACACATATGGAATCATGTAGTAACCAGAAAAGTGTTAAACAAATCTAAATATATTTTATATTTGAGATTCTTAAAAATAGCCACCCTTTGCCTTGATGACAGCTTTGCACACTCTTGGCATTCTCTCAACCAGCTTCATGAGGTAGTCACCTGGAATGCATTTCAATTAACAGGTGTGCCTTCTTAAAAATTAATTTGTGGAATTTCTTTCCTTCTTAATGCGTTTGAGCCAATCAATTGTGTTGTGACAAGGTAGGGGGGTATACAGAAGATGGCCCTATTTGGTAAAAGACCAAGTCCATATTATGGCAAGAGAAACGACAGTCCATCATTACTTTAAGACATGAAGGTCAGTCAATAAGGGACATTTCAATGACTTTAAACGTTTCTTCAAGTGCAGTCGCAAAAACCATCAAGCGCTATGATGAAACTGGCTCTCATGAGGACCGCCACAGGAATGGAAGACCCAGAGTTACCTCTGCTGCAGAGGATACGTTCATTAGAGTTACCAGCCTCAGAAATTGCAGCCCAAATAAATGCTTCAGAGTTCAAGTCACAGACACATCTCAACATCAACTGTTCAGAGGGGACTGTGTGAATCAGGCTTTCATGGTCGAAATGCTGCAAAGAAACCCCTACTAAAAGGACACCAATAAGTAGTAGAGACCTGCTTGGGCCAAAAATAATCAACAGATCCCCCTATTGATATTGGTTGTATTTTTGATATGACAAGCTGTGATTTGACAGGAAGCCACAATAAAGGAACAACCAAGGTATCAAGGAGACCACATAGCAGAGTAGCATACACACACGCACAAAGATGTAGATGGACACAGCAGGAGCGTCAGGAGCATCACAATAAACTAATTTAGACGTGCTCTCACACAGCAGCGCTGTTAGGAAGCGTGATCCTGACACCGCTGCTCCCTAAGCTGGACACGGCTCATCAGCATGTAAACGCACAAAGAGCAGCATGAAGAGGGGAAACACACACAGCAGGGCACACACACACACTTGCTGGCATATTCCCCTAATTGAAACTCTCCCTTACTTGCCATGCAAATTAGAAAATGAACCAACAATAATTTAAACTCACAACGCCCTGATCACTGAATTCAAAGTCAATAGTTAGACTTCAAGGCAAGGCAGTATTAATACTTAAATCTACCACCATCTAGCACAAAGCTTCAACCAGGAATTAATATATTATTATATTAATTCCCAGCCTAATGTCTTCTCCCATTTCTTTCACTAGGGGGTAAAAAAGAACTGTGCTGAAACCACTTCCATTCCACGTTGATATTCTAAGAGGACAATATTACAATAAAATTAAAAGAATTCAAACAGCAGGAGACAATTGGGAAGATGAGCTGTAGAAGGAGACAAAACATTGAACCTAAGTTGCTGACTCTGCACTCAGAGTATATCAGAGGTGCTTCTAGGTTTAGACAGAACTGCTCAGGCCCTGTGAAAAGACCTGCATGTATGATTCATGAAGCGGTACATTGGGAGCTGGTTTACGTTCTAATTGAAATGGTATGGAGCGCGTAGTCTAGTCTGTCTCCCTCTCTCCCTGCCCAGTGAAAATTAATGAGAACAATGATATGGAGAATAGACCCCTTCTTTCCTCAAGGGTTTCCTTTTTCCTGAGAGGTTTTCTAGGCAGATAGAAATGTAATTAGATAGCAAAACATAGAAATAATGTGTTCACATAATGACACTTTGCTGTTACTAGTGCAGATCCAACAGGTTAGTAGTGGAAGAAAGCTCACATACCCATCACTACACAACATGGAAATACAATCTCCCAGAGCAATGTAAAGCAATATAGCACAGCATGTAGGTACACACATTTAAATACAGTTGAGTATCTAATAAAATATGCCCGAACAGAAAGCGATTCTCCAACCAGACTAAAATGAGAGCCTTCCCTGAAGATCGATTGCATGTTACTCATCCAATCTACACAGCAGTGTAAACCGTCCAACATCCTCTCCCCTCACCCACATAGATATCAAAGATTCAATAATTTGCCTATGCAGTGGTCTCTGGTCTGGTCTCTAGCTACATCCACTCCAACCTGCCAACCCAGCTCTATGCTATAGGGCTGACATTACCTAAAGAGACTTTCCCCACAAAAATACCACCCATCTCGTTCATCCTCCTGCCCTGTCACCTCGCGTTACTTACCTCTTCACTAACACACAGTCCCCTCAACAGCCTTCCAACAACCACAGGTTATTCCAAAAGAGTCATTACAACGTCAAAACTAGGCCAACACATCACAGCTAACACCTTGTTAGCGACTGACACAGAGCTTGGAGGACACAGTGACTGTGCAGTGCAGTGGTGCTGGCTGGGCGCATTTATTGGAGACTCGCTAATGCTTTTCTGGGCACTTTTCCAAGTGGGAGAGAAAAGAGGATTGGCACTGGGAGAGGGACAGTGTCAGTGACACAGTGAAACCAAACTTGCTTGCGTGTGAAATCAAAAATCTGCTGCAGGGCAGATCGCAATAAAGCTAGCAGAACTAGCACACAAGGAGGGCTATGAGTTGTGGGCAGATAGCGATAGGCCTTGCACACAGGGAGGGCTATGGTTTGAGGGCAGATAGCGATAAGGCTAGCCCAGCACACAGGGGGGCTATGGGTTTAGCGCTAGCCAGAGATACAGACACTTATCCAAACAGTGCAGCAGCTAGCCCCCATAGAGGAAGGACTGGCTAAGGGCCAAGCTGGTGGTGCCTATTCTTTCTCTACCTGCTGAGTAAAGGCCTTTAATCACAATGTCTGATCTATAGAAAAACAACTCCCACTAAAGCAGGAAATAGACATAATGCTGTTATAAGACTGACATAACACCCGTCACAACTGGTTGATGTCCACAACTGGACACGTCTATTAAATTGTGCGATTTTGACCACCAGTTAGGCACAAATTGATTCAGTTCTTCCTCAGCTCTAAGGTCAAAACAAGGTTGGCCATTTTGAAAGGGGTGACTGAGAAGGATAGCTTTACTGTACTACTATCCTGTGGACATTGCAGAACTAAAAGTCTAGCTTAATAACTTTTTGTACTTAGGGTAACTGAATGTTTTCCCTTTGACATTTCACAATGATAAATCCATTTACGAGTCCAGGAGGACTGGGCCATGCCATTTCTACTCTCTGGCTCATTGAATGCCAGAGGTCAAGTTGAGGCTGACCTCTGGGCTTAATGCCTGGACAAAAGTAATTATTGTCATCAAGTAATGGGTAAATACAATTACTCACATGCAGTGACATACAGCACACAGAGAGATAGATGGCAGAGAGCTTTCCTGAGATCGATGCTAAGATCAGGATTAGTGCCTGCTCAGGAATGGCTGAGGCTTGGGCTTCTTAAAGAGCAATCTAAGGCACATATAACTCATCCGTTACAGCTTTATATCACATAGCGCTGATGGAGACTTAAACAGAGGCGCCAGAATAACAAAGCTGCTTCAGACTTATACATGTTCCATGTATTAGCCTGCCTGTGTCTGGATTCATACTGGTTAGGCTATGAAGAAAGAAACTTGAGTGCTCTTTGGGAGGATGGTAATAAAATGGGGGAACTGGCTTTGTAAGACCACTAGCCAGGCTAGCTTACACCTCGCAACTCACAAACATCAAACAAGACATGAACCAAGGCTGGTGTGGTAAAGGGATAGCCTAATGTGTGTCTGTGTGTGTGATGTTTGTGTGTTCCCTGAGGCAAGAGAAGAAACAGGAGGCTCTGGATGCACATTCCTGTTCTGGATCATTCCCCTGGTGACTGTATCTTCCTCCCCTACCTACCCCTCTACCTATTCCTCTCCCAGTCTTCCTTCCCCTCCTCCATTAACATGTGGCAAGACCGCTCGGCTGTGTCTACATCCTCTCAGCATGACTGCCCCTCCTCCCACATCCTCTCATCCTCCAAGCATCACTCACTTCTCTTCCTCTGGTAAAAACACTTCCCTCTGTAAGCTACTGCCATATTGAACAGAGTGGCATGTACTGGCTCATTTTGTCAAAATACACATCCTCCTCCCTACACTCCTCCTTCCTACACTCCTCAAATACTGCATCCGTTAACTAACATATATTAATTTGGCTTTTTGCTGTCTTGGATGTCTTAAAAACGATCCATTAGTAACTGTATATTAATCGATTAGGACTACTTTGCTCTATTTTGGGGCTTGGCTGAGGCCCTGGTGTCATATCATAGGGGGATTTCATACTGAGACACCAGACGGAGACCAGTAGTGAGAAAAATACAGCCAGCTCTGCACTCCTGCTATGGATAAAACCTTACCATCCACACCCACACCAGTGGGAATATTACACATGTATGATCCTTAAAGAGAAACTGCCATATAGAGGCTATTTAAACAGGTGTACATACTGTAAGTGGCATGGAATTTAGATCAGACAAAAGTGTCTTGCAAAAAACTAGTGTAAAGAGAGATCTGACTATGGATAGCTATTTCAGCCTGTATGGTTGCAACCCGTGCCTTTAGCTTAACATACATCATGTTGTAAAGTACTAGAGCATGCTGTACATGAATGGAATTAATAAATGACAGTGGCATTCTCATGAATGGGAAGTTACATACTAGTACTGTCCGCTGCCAGTATACAGTATTCAAGGAGGATGGGATTTAATGTAAGGGTGGAGGAACAAGTGTTTGTTTGTTTGTTGTTTGTTTGTGTGTGTATATATGCGCGGACAGCATTACAGAGCAAAACATCTCTTTCCAACCCTGTTTCAGTGTTGGTGGAGTTAATATTGAATCTCGTATTAATGCAATACCCACTCTATGAGATTGAAACCCCAAGCCATCTCAGGTAGCAACCACTGTTTTCGAGAAACTGTTAAATAGACAACATTTATCTTACTGTGTCACATCAACCATTTGACTCAAGGAATCTTGATTTTTGAGGCCAATCTCAGGTTGCATGAAGATAGAGTGAACTACTTGAGCGTTTCGAAATCGACAATCGACTGGCGTTAAAGTGGCTGAATGCAGTGGGCCTGCCGGGCTGAGTGATTGGTGGGTCAACGGCTAATGAACCGATATTGAGATGGCACTAAACTGTGTGTGTGAGGCATGAATCATGGGTGTGATCAGCGAGTGTATCCCAGCAGCGCAGATGAGATGGCACTTAACTGTGTGTATCCATGTGAGCATGTCGTGTGTTACAGGCATGAATCATGCCTGCAATCCTGGGGAACATGTATGTTAGGGATGATTAGATGGTGTGTGAGAGAGAGAGGAGGCATGCATCCCAACACTAATGAGATGGGGCTGTGTGTACTGGGCTCAGAATACTGGCCAGGTTTTCAATCTAGAGAACACTCACAGCCAACCTTTATACAATCAGGAGGGGTGATGGAAAGGCCTTGGCTGAAAGGCAACACTTGTGAGTGCTCCAGTACATATGTACTTCCTCAAAAAGGGAGAGGAATACCAAGATGTGCTCCACTGAGAGAACCCACCACAGCAAAGTATTTACCGAAGGGCTAGAAAATATATTACAAGGCCACACTGTGTACTCAAGAGTTGTGTAGTGTGGGATTTCTTTGTTTAACCTATGAGGCAGTTAGGCCCCAAAGAAGCTCAGCCCTCAGGCTAAAGACAACTGCAACACGTAATCATGAATCAAACCAGGGCCCTGTCCCAATACTTAGGCCTACAAATTCTCCTTTCCTTCCTCCCTTGAAGTTATCACAGAGACACAGACCTGGTTGGAATGATAGCAAAATAAGTGAAACTCTCACAAGGGTTGGATTAATGACAGCGACAGGTGTTTTCACTTATCCAAACCCCAACAGATTACCACAATCAAAGAAGGAAGGGTGCAAGTACTCAAACAGGGTCTGAGACTCTTCAGAAAGAGAGTCCTTCTTTCGGGGTCAGAGTGCACAGAGCTATCCAAATAAAAAAGGGATTTGAAAAGTGTACGTTTCAGTTGAATACTGTCAGAAATTCCCATTGACAGTGATATACCGTCCTCGCTGTTTAATCTGTTGGCGTCCGCTGCATGTGTCCAATGAATCTGCCTTTACAGCCCTGGTCGGATGCTGGCTGCAGCCAACAGGGTAACAGCATTCCCGCAATCCCGCATAATGATTAAATCCCCCCTAACTAGCCAATGAAATACCAGCTAATGAATAGGAGTGTGAATGAACTCAAGCTGCCATAGAAAGCAATCTGCAAACCCAGGGATTAAGTTTCTTCTCAGGGAGATAATGACGTACACATTATTTTCCCCAAAACACAATATGTTGTTTGCTAAGTGTGGAGGGAGACGAAGTTGGTTAATGAGTGTTGGGTGAGGGGGCATGGTATTCTATTCAACCAGGGATGGCAATGTAATTTCTGCTATACACGATGCTGGCTGATGCACGTAAACATACTCTCTTTCTCTCTCTCTCTCTCACGCCACGTACACACACTTTTCTATTCACACAGGAGAAAATTAAGCATTCACTCTCGACTTAATATTAACAAATGGCCTTCAACGACAGAACGTAATACAAGACCTCCACATACTAACAAGTCACATGGTCTATATGTGTGCCTAAATCACACGTTTAGACCTTTTCCATTTCGGCATTTCATAGACCCATATAGAAAAGGCCTAACCCTGGCATAAAAATACAAATATATGCTACATAGCATCCATTCTGTACGCTCTCCCTAGTCTGAAAACATAAAAAAACATGACACGAACACGTCCATAAAGTCCCAGGTCGACCTACAGACAACCAAAGCATTGAGAGTTACACATCCTCCCTGTCAGCAACCAGATGTTCCATTAGGGCTGTAATCGATGCCTAGCGGCTGCATTAAACATAATGCCGGCAGGACAAGCCTGTAAAGTGGGGCTCATAATCGCGTGGGGGGGGCCAAAATGGTTGCTATGCCACTGCACCATACCCCACATAATGGTTAGGGGTGGAAAGTGACTAGTGACTACACTTTCTCACTCAGACACAAACATCACTCTCTGTCACTGACAACTGATAGCGTTTAACCTCCCATTCTCTCCGGTGCCTGTGCTAATCTACACAGGGACGGTGTCATGATGTTAATCTCAGTAATAAACCACTAAATGATTTATGTGGGTCCATAAAGGCACCCAGCCCTGAAACCTGATATAGGAAGGGGACATGACAGCTCATGAGACTGCCCCATATGATTCATAGTAAATATGGATGCATTAATGAAGGGGTGTGATGGTGTGAGCGCTGCTCAGGGGAGGTGATGAAGATTATGCTGATACCCGTATGATGATACTCCTCAAGGCTAAGTGAAAAAGAGAGCCACGGTCAACATTTAGGGAGAGTTGGACCAACCTACCCGGACCAAGCAGAAAATGTATTGCGATACTCCACTGTGTTTCTATAGTCAGAAGAGTTCTGTGGGTTTGACAAGTTATCTTGCTGAAGAGTAAAGACACAGGGATGGTGTCACAGTTAGAATAAATGTAATTTCAACTCAATCAATTCAGGAAGTAAATTTAATTTAAATTCACTTAAAGAATTGAGAAATCCTCATTATAGATGAATGGCTACATTGCTCAGTCTTATGCACAGATCTAGAATTACCATCTCCTAATCATTAACAGGAGGTACCATGATGTCAAGCCATACAGGCCCAGTGGCTGCTCTAAACAGGAGAGGAGAATGTGAGAAAATTGCGTTATCATAAGCAGCACTGCCCTCTGCAGCATAACCAATGCTTACTACACCTACCGTCAAATCATTTCCCCCCATCTTTATGGTGACAGTCCTTTCCCAGGAAGAGATTATATGGATTTTCAATGGTTCAACTTTCACACAGCACGAAAACACTTCTCAGGGTTATGTGTGTTATCTACTACACAGTATATGAGTGTTGGAGGTGCCATGACAGCTTACATAAACAACACGGTTGTGTGTTCTGGAATTCCATTACACACTCATTCCTTCATTATTTGCCGTAATAAAGATCTCGTAACTCAGAGGCTAAGTAGTCAGCTGATGTTTCCCGATCTCACCGTTATGTCCTACATCAGTGTTTACCAAATGGTGGGTGGCACTGGCAGCCAATTCGTACAGGGCCGGAGAATGGCTTGTGACTAGAAACAACTAGGCCTAATTTGCTCATTGGGTGGCTCACAAGAAAATTCAAAAGGAAACATACCAGGAATCAATACAATGCAATACTACCACCAGCACAACGCACTCATCATCACCAGCATCAACAGATGCCTACTCACCGTGTTGGCCAGCTCCAGGTAATTTCCCCCCGGGGGGCTACAGTGGGCGCTGGTCTGGGCCAGGAGCATATGGAGGGCAGCCTGCTGTTCTTGGACAGTCCCAGGCTGTTCCAGGAGCTTCTGGAGGATGGCTGGCTGTTGCTGGGTCTGTGTTTGCCGAGGCTGGATGTCTGGACTCTGGAGGTCCCTGGCCCCAGAGTCGTACTCCCAGCTCTCTCTGGCCCCTGACAGGGCCCCTAGGGGACACATGTTATAACTCAAAACTAAACAGGTAGTAACTAATAAGCAGTGTGAAGGGTTGACACTCCCAACCAGATCTGGTTCAAGAGAATATCAGTCTACATTTTTTTGCATTATTGCTTCCCTGTGCAAATAGATTTAAGTTTTTTGCTCTCTGTGGATTACTTTTGAAGTGGTTTCATGCACATGTAAAGTGGGTCGAGTTAGGATGATTGAATTAGTCACTATAAAATTGTCCATGTTTGTGAATGGGCTTGAGGTAAACATTCCTGCTCATTATGCTCTCATTTCATTACGCAATAATGAGCACTCGCTGATGTTCCAGGAACAACTAAAGAACAATTAAAACAAAGGTCACTGAAGGTTTAGGCTAGCAACAGAGATAAAAACCTAGCCTCAGTCATGCAGGTTATGTTCTGGTTGTTTCATGTTAGAGGTTTGGTGTCAGTTGTTTATGGTTAATAATGACTGTGGTATAAGGGTAAGTGGTTGTTTGCAGTTAGTTGTTGGGTGTCAGGTTTAAGTGTTTGGTGTTGCCTGTTCTTAGTTGATTTTAAGCTTTTAGGCAGCTGTGATTAGTTGCCGTCTCTTGTTTAACAATATAATTTACAATTGTGCCTAATCGTGATTGGCTATCTTCAAAAACTCACCCAGGCTGTTCTCGCTGCTGGTTGGCCAGGAGGCGAGGTGTTCCCTGAGCTTCTTAGTTTCAGAGTTCTGGGAGCGTTGGGAGAGCTCGCCCTCTTCCTTGCGGATCTCGTTGACCAGCTGCATGCGGCAGCGGGTGAAGTCCTCGAAGGAGATCTTGCCTCGCTCATCCGCTCCCAGCTGGCACATGATCTCTGCCACAGACTCCTCCATGTTTAGTTGTCTGCACACCATCAGCAGGTCATTCCTAACAGGAGAGAGGGAGAGAAGGAGATAAGATAGAGATGGAGAAGGAAAGGCAGAGGGAAAAGGAGAGAGGGAGGGAGAGGCGGAGAGTGGGAGTGAGAGGAAGAGAATGGTTTTCAATTGTCTGAAGAGTGGTGTACAAGTTGCAGCACTAAGCTGAATTGCTGGTACATTAACCGCCGCACCAGCCTGAGAAATTTGCTTCACTTCTCAAAGAATTGAAAAGTGATATTAGGAAAATTAGGAAAGGTTTGGAGGGGGTAAATAGGTTTCCTAGATGAAGTGGAAAAGCACACAATTCGAGCAAAAGATATTCCCATAGACAGGGAATTTGATCCCTGTATGCCCTTCAAGCTGTAGTTATTTAGCACAATGGATATCTTATTCATCAGTTTCATGTCTAAGGGTTAGTGTGCATGGGGAATATGGCCTAAGCATCAATTTCAACAGAACTGGTTCAATTTGTCAACTTTAATGCCTTAGAGGCTACCAATCCATTTTATACAGTGCATTCTAGGCCACAAATAGTATCTCAAATGGCTATGCAAACCATGGGTTTCTCTGTAAAAACAGATGTGTTTGAGTTGAGTCAAATGCGCCAATGCTCTTAAGCTCTCGATCCTCTCCTGCATGTTTTAATTTTCCTCACTGCTCGCTCTGCTTGTGTATAGCCTTCAGCAGAGTAGGCCTACTTTATTTACTAACAAGAACATTCAACACTTCAGAGTTCATAAACATCGTATAATTAGAGACCCCCACATAATATCACTATTTATGTATTTATTATTTAACTAGGTAAGTCAGTTTAGAACAAATTCTTATTTTATAATGACGTCAAACGTAATTTTGAGTAGCTAGCAAACTTTCAAAACCTCAAGCCAACGCCATGGCATGCAGATGTTTTGTAGGTTGCCTTTGCCAGTTATCGAGCCAAAGCATGTTTCGAAAACGGAGAAGGTATGGTTTCGAAGTGTGCGCGAAACAAAATGGGAGAAATTGTTCGCTACGGAAGTCACTGGAAAAGGAAATTAGTTTATATTACAAAACTAGAGCAAAGCCGCGTAGCTAAATAAATTATAATATTTCCAGCTCGTAGCTAGATGTATGCAAAATATATTCATCGCATTTGGTAACCTTCAATTCTAAATCCACCTTGTCGTTAATAAATAGCCTACCTGTTGATGTATCCATCACCGTCGCCGTCGCAAGTCAGAAACAAACGCCTCATCCTCTCCTCTTCGCCCGTGCTAGATGTGTCACTACTGCCGCTACTCACACTCACCTCCACCGCCGCCATGAGCTTCCCTAAAAAAATACTGTAACTTGGCTACTACCCCTTCTAGTATCCAATCTCAACAAAGTAACTGCTCCTTCATCACACTTCCCGTAAATGTAGGCTAATACCCGGCATTGGATTGAATAGAATCAAATGTAATCTTGGGTTTAGGTCACTTCTGAAAAAAGGAGGGTGCAGCCGCAGCATGTGCCGTAAAAGTAAAGCTCGAAATTTGTTGGTGGATAGGGAGGGCGTTAAAAAGCTTTTGGCTAAGCTGTTGGTGGGGTGAGGGCAGAATGGGTTGGTCTTTCGGCAGTCTAGCAGAGCATTGCAATGCACTTTATAGGATATTGCCCTGGGCAGCATTAAAACTGTGTGGGTATGCACAAGGATTGCACATTTGATAGTTCAAATATAGAGCATAGATTATAAAGGGTTTAAACCAAAACTATTGATAACTATTTATATTTTAAACAGAGGCCTCTCAATAAAGTTCACCACATGTATGTTGTTGCAAAGTAACAAAGCATTTCATTGATGAAACATGAATAATATAGGCCTAGCTAGGAAATAGACCAGTATGTTATGGCTGTGAGCTATTTACAGTTACATTTGCCTAATGATGCGTGTGGTACAGCAAACTGTCCATAGAAATAAAGAGAACATAAATAGAACAGATGTCGGCTATGATGTAGGCCTGACTATCTCTATGAAACCATCTTTCCCAGCAAAGAACAGGAGACTTCATCATGTCTAAAGTCTGGACTGAACAGATGTAGTTTGTGGATGGATCTTTTCCCCCTCTTGTACTCTACCCCAGTGGTGACCGGTCATTCAGGGCAGGTAGAGCCCCACCTGTTTTGAGCCCCACTGGTTTAGCTAAAATATATACATTACCGGTCAAAAGTTTTAGAACACCTACTCATTCAAATGATTTTCTTTATTTTTTTACTATTTTCTACATTGTAGAATAATAGTGAAGACATCAAAACTATGAAATAACACATGGAATCACGTGGTAACCAAAAAAGTGTTAAACAAATCAAAATATATTTTATATTTGAGATTCTTCAAATAGCCACCCTTTGCCTTGATGACAGCTTTGCACACTCTTGGCATTCTCTCAACCAGCTTCACCTGGAATGCTTTTCCAACAGTCTTGAAGGAGTTCCCACATATGCTGAGCACTTGTTGGCTGCTTTTATAATAATATAATATTCCATTTAGCAGACGCTTTTATCCAAAGCGACTTGCATACATTTTTACGTATGGGTGGTCCCGGGGATCGAACCCACTACCCTGGCGTTACAAGCGCCATGCTCTACCAATTGAGCTACAGAGGACCACCTTTTCCTTCACTCTGCGGTCCGACTAATCCCAAACCATCTGAATTGGGTTGAGGTCGGGGGATTGTGGTGGCCAGGTCATCTGATGCAGCACTCCATCGCTCTCCTTCTTGGTCAAATAGCCCTTACACAGCCTGGAGGTGTGTTGGGTCATTGTCCAGTTAAAAAACAAATTATAGTCCCACTAAGCCCAAACCAGATGGGATGGCGTATCGCTGCAGAATGCTGTGGTAGCCATGCTGGTTAAGTGTGCCTTGAATTCTAAATAAATCACAGACAGTGTCACCAGCAAAGCACCCCCACACCATATCACCTCCTCCTCCATGCTTTAAGGTGGAAACATGCGGAGATCATCCGTTCACCCACACCGCATCTCACAAAGACACGGCGGTTGGAACCAAAAATCTCAAATTTAGACTCCAGACGAAAGGACAAATTTCCACCGGTCTAATGTCCATTGCTCATGTTTCTTGGCCCAAGAAAGTCTCTTCTTCTTATTGGTGTCCTTTAGTAGTGGTTTCTTTGCAGCAATTCAACCATGAAGGCCTGATTCACACCGTCTCCTCTGAACAGTTGATGTTGAGATGTGTCTGTTACTCTCTCTCCAGATGAAATCTTGCGACTTGTGACTGCCGGCCGCCCAACAACTTGCCCGCTTGACCCTATCCCCTCCTCTCTTCTCCAGGCCATTTCCGGAGACCTTCTCCCTTACCTCACCTCGCTCATCAACTCATCCTTGACCGCTGGCCATGTCCCTTCCGTCTTCAAGAGAGCGAGAGTTGCACCCCTCCTCAAAAAACGTACACCCTCCGATGTCAACAACTACAGATCAGTATCCCTTCTTTCTTTTCTCTCCAAAACTCTTGAGCGTGCCGTCTCTAGCCAACTCTCCTACTATCTCTCAGAATGACCTTCTTGATCCAAACCAGTCAGTTTTCAAGACTGGTCATTCAACTGAGACTGCTCTTCTCTGTGTCACGGAGGCTCTCCGCACTGCTAAAGCTAACTCTCTCTCCTCTGCTCTTATCCTAGACCTATCCGCTGCCTTTGATACTGTGAACCATCAGATTCTCCTCTCCACCCTCTCCGAGTTGGGCATCTCTGGCGCTGCTCACTCTCGGATTGCGTCCTACCTGACAGGTCGCTCCTACCAGGTGGCGTGGCGAGAATCTGTCTCCGCACCACGTGCTCTCACCACTGGTGTCCCCCAGGGCTCAGTTCTAGGCCCTCTCCTATTCTCTCTATACACCAAGTCATTTGGCTCTGTCATATCCTCACATGGTCTCTCCTATCACTACTACATATCAGTGTGGATGTCGGATCACCACCTCAAGCGGAACCTCGGCAAGACGGAGCTGCTCTTCCTCCCGGGGAAGGACTGCCCGCTCCATGATCTCGCCATCACAGTTGACAACTCCATTGTATCCTCCTCCCAGAGTGCAAAGAACCTTGGCGTGACCCTGGACAACACCCTGTCGTTCTCCACTAACATCAAAGCGGTGACCCGATCCTGCAGGTTCATGTTCTACAACATTCGCAGAGTACGACCCTACCTTACACAGAAAGCGGCACAGGTCCTAATCCAGGCACTTGTCATCTCCCGTCTGGATTACTGCAACTCGCTGTTGGCTGGGCTCCCTGCCTGTGCCATTAAACCCCTACAACTTATCCAGAACGCTACAGCCCGTCTGGTGTTCAACCTTCCCAAATTCTCTCATGTCACCCAGCTCCTCCGCACACTCCACTGGCTTCCAGTTGAGGCTCGCATCTACTACAAGACCATGGTGCTTGCCTACAGAGCTGTGAGGGGAACGGCACCTCCTTACCTTCAGGCTCTGATCAGACCCTACACCCAAACGAGGGCACTACGTTCATCCACCTCTGGCCTGCTAGCCCCCCTACCTCTACGGAAGCACAGTTCCTGCTCAGCCCAGTCAAAGCTATTCGCTGCTCTGGCACCCCAATGGTGGAACAAGCTCTCCCCCACAACACCAGGACAGCGGAGTCACTGACCACCTTCCAGAGACACTTGAAACCCTACCTCTTTAAGGAATACCTGGAATAGTATAAAAGTAATCCTTCTACCCCCCCCCCCCCTCCCCCACCCCCCCATATTTTTTTTTTTTAAGTGGTTGTCCCACTGGCTATCATAAGTTGAATGCACCAATTTGTAAGTCACTCTGGATAAGAGCGTCTGCTAAATGATGTAAATGTAAATGTAAATGTAAGAATTTATTTGGGCTGCAATTTCTGAGGCTGGTAACTTTAATGAACGTATCCTCTGCAGCAGAGGTAACTCTGGGTCTTCCATTCCTGTGGCGGTCCTCATGAGAGACAATTTTTTCATCATAGCGCTTGATGGTTTTTGCGACTGCACTTGAAGAAACTTTCAAAGTTCTTGAAATGTTCCGTATTGACTGACCTTTATGTCTTAAAGTAATGATGGACTGTCGTTTCATTTACATTTACATTTACGTCATTTAGCAGACGCTCTTATCCAGAGCCACTTACAAATTGGTGCATTTACCTTATAGCCAGTGTGATAACCACTTTACAATATGTTTTTATTTTTATTGTATTAATTTTTCTTTGGGGTGGGGTAGGGGGTGTAGAAGGATTACTTTATCCTATCCCAGGTATTCCTTAAAGAGGTGGGGTTTCAAGTGTCTCCGGAAGGAGGTGAGTGACTCCGCTGTCCTGGCGTCATGAGGGAGCTTGTTCCACCATTGGGGTGCCAGAGCAGCGAACAGTTTTGACTGGGCTGAGCGGGAACTGTGCTTCCGCAGAGGTAGGGGGGCTAGCAGGCCAGAGGTGGATGAACGCAATGCCCTCGTTTGGGTGTAGGGACTGATCAGAGCCTGAAGGTACGGAGGTGCCGTTCCCCTCACAGCTCCGTAGGCAAGCACCATGGTCTTGTAGCAGATGCGAGCTTCAACTGGAAGCCAGTGGAGTGTGCGGAGGAGCGGGGTGACGTGAGAGAACTTGGGAAGGTTGAACACCAGATGGGCTGCGGCATTCTGGATGAGTTGTAGGGGTTTAATGGCACAGGCAGGGAGCCCAGCCAACAGAGAGTTGCAGTAATCCAGACGGGAGATGACAAGTGCCTGGATTAGGACCTGTGCCGCTTCCTGTGTAAGGCAGGGTCGTACTCTCCGAATGTTGTAGAGCATGAACCTACAGGATCGGGTCACCGCCTTGATGTTAGCGGAGAACGACAGTGTGTTGTCCAGGGTCACGCCAAGGCTCTTCGCACTCTGGGAGGAGGACACAACGGAGTTGTCAACCGTGATGGCGAGATCATGGAACGGGCAGTCCTTCCCCGGGAGGAAGAGCAGCTACGTCTTGCCGAGGTTCAGCTTGAGGTGGGATCCGTCATCCACACTGATATGTCTGCCAGACATGCAGATGCGATTCGCCACCTGGTTTTCAGAAGGGGGAAAGGAGAAGATTAGTTGTGTGTCGTCTGCGTAGCAATGATAGGAGAGGCCATGTGAGGATATGACAAAGCCAAGTGACTTGGTGTATAGCGAGAATAGGAGAGGGCCTAGAACTGAGCCCTGGGGGACACCAGTGGTGAGAGCACGTGGTGCGGAGACAGATTCTCGCCACGCCACTTGGTAGGAGCGACCGGTCAGGTAGGATGCAATCCAAGAGTGAGCCGCGCCGGAGATGCCC